TCATTATATTATTCTTCAAATAATTGTTGCATGATTACTACATTCTAGGCATTATTCTAGGGCACACTAGTGAATAAAACATACACAATCCTGTTACTCACAGATAATAAATCATAGATACGTAACAGATAACAAGTAGCAAGAAGTACAGTGAAGATAAAGCAAGATATGTGAGGTAAGAATGCCTGTCTGGGAGGATGTTGAGGTGGGGAGTGGAGGATTGTTTTATGTAGACTATGGAAAACACCAGATAAGATGCTGTTTGAAGCAGAAGTACCAGGAGTGCCATGTGCCTCTCAGGGGAAGACATTTCCAGGTGTAGGAAACATCAATAACAGGTACAGTAGCCCAGAGAGGACATGGATGCGTTTAACTGTAGGGGGCAGTAGTGTGGCTGAAACTGATCAAGGGGCTGGCCCAAAATGAAGGTGGTGGTTGGCCAAAACCTAAGGGCTTGAATGGTCATGAAGTTTTTAATTTTAGTGTTTGTGGAGGAAGAAGCCATAGAGAGTAATATATCCAACTTGGTTTTTTATAAGATTTCATCCCGTGGCTTTGCCAGTAACAGACTGCATTGGGGAGGGTAGGAGGAAACTTTTGCAATAACCCCAGCAAAAGAGGGTGGTTGAATATTGAGAACTGGCTAATTTCTAGATATTTGAAGAAGAAAGAAGAAAGTAAAGACGATAGTGGCCTGGAAGTGGCATGAAGGGCTGTTGCTAGTCACAATGCACCTGTGTGTGAATTAGAGAGGAATGTGGGCCATTGTCTTCCTGCAGATACCACAAAATCTGATGCTACCTCTGTGTGAGTTAGAAAAATGTGCCCCTCAGCAGATATATCCCCATAATCAGGCTTGGCAAGATAGGGAGTAGAGTGGCTGAGAGTGGCTATTTTTCATCACTCACTTGCCCTCTTGTTCCAGACCTTAAGTGCTGGGTTTCTAAGGGAAGATAAAGATAACATTAGAGATTTGGACCTAAGCCCAAGGACTTTTTATCTTCTGAGAATTAAAATATAATTTAAATTTATATTTTTATCGTTTCTTTTCTGAGAAGAATAAAGTTGCCATTTGCTAAGATGGAGAAGTCTGCAGATGGAGCAAGTTTGGGGAAGGAAATTAAGGATTCAGCTGGGAATATGTTAAGCTTGAAATGCATGTTAGCCATCCAAGTGGGGCCCTTTCTGGTGGCACAATGGGTTCTCTCCTGGCCAGGGAGGTGACCCACATGGCACGGCAGACCTCTCCTGACCCACCCGCTGCTCCCTTCAGCAGTGTACATTGTCAGTCTTCCTGGTATGCTCCCTACTCTGTCTTGGTGAATCCTCTCACTGCCCCTGCACCTCTGACCTGTACCCCACTTCTGTATGGATACATAAATAAATCTTTTTTAAAAAATAGATATCCTAGTGGCACTATGAATAAGCAGTTGAATAGATAAATCTAGCAGTAAAGGGAGAAGTTAGAAATTGAGCTATAAATGAGGGGTTACATCAGCATTTTAGTTATTATACTGCATGGTATATACAATTTATATTTAGTATATAACATAATAACCATAATCCATCATTAAAGTAACTCAGTGAGAAAAATTTTATACAGTTCCTCTTAGTACTTTTAATCCCTATAGTTCCTTTTAAAATCTTGTTTTCATTGTTAACACTCAGGAAAAAATATCCAAACATTTTAAAAATGACTAAGATAAGTCCATATGCTCATATATGACCTCTACTTCTACAAGTAATTACCACTAGTCATTTCTCTTCTATCCTTCTAAAATTTTTATGAATCAAACATAGATGTTATTTGAATTGCTTTTTATATACACTACATGCACTGTATGCAACTTGCTGAAAACAATTTTTGATAGATTTTATCAAATGACTTTCCATGGATGTCATACTAAAATGTACTCCTACCAACAGAGTGTATGTGAGATTGTCTTTTCACTTCATTTTAATTACATTACCAAACTTAATCAATGGCAGTCTGCTCCTGGAAAATATTACCATAAAAATATACTTTTTATATTTATTGACCTTTAATATTTCTTTTTTCATGGAGCTGCATTTTCATGCCCTTTGCACATTTTCCTAATTTTAAAAATGGCTTATAAGAGCTCTTTGTATATTAAGAAAATTAGTCTTTTTGTCTCTGCTAAGCCTCTTTTTTAAAGAAATTGTGCCTTGAGTAATAGCTGCAGTAGGGGAAAAAAAATGTACAATGGACATAAAGGGAACTTTGACTTCCAGGAGCATGAGGATCTGCCTCGCCCTTTATGTTTACTTGTTTACTTCCTCCTCACCCCAATATCTTTAGTGCCTCTCTGTCTTTTATTGCAATGTATTTAGCCTTGTGTATATGGTCTTTTTTTTTTTTTAACATTATATGCATTTTTTTTTTAAATAGAGGTAATACCAGTTTGTAATATTGTGATTCAAGTGTATAGGTTTACACAACTCTTCGGATAGATGTTTCTGGTCTTGACATGAGCCATTCTCACCCACCACCCACTAAGGGTCCGGTACTCCTCCACCATAGTCCACTGCACTCCTCCCCACTTTGCTCTTCATTGTCCTATTTTCCCTCTAGTATGCTAAATTTTACAGATTTCTGTTTTTGGCTTGGTTTTGCCTTACCCTTTGTTTATTCCTCTGTATTCTGCATAAGAGTAACCATCCTGGACTTGTCTTTCTCCTTCTGTCTAATTTTGTTCAGTATTATCTCCTGCTCTTCTATCTATGTCATTACTAATGGCAAGAGGTCGTTTTTTTATAGCAGAGTAGTAGATCATTTTAAATATATGTCATATCTTCTTAATACACTCCTCTGTCCTTGAGTACTTAGGTTATTTCCATAACTGGGCTATTGTAAATAATGTTGGCAATGAACATAGATGTGAATAAACCCTTTATAATTAGTGTGTTTGAATTTCTTCATAAAGGAAGCTAGGAATGGATTTCTTTCTCATTTGGAGATCTAATTAGTGTTTTGAAAAACCTCCATTCTGTTTTCCATTGGGGCTGACCAAAATACGTTACCACCAACTTTATACAAGGGTACCTTTTTCTCCACTTCTTTGCCAACACTTATTTCTGGTCTTGATATGAGCCATCCTCACAGGTGTGAGGTGGTGTCCCATTGTGGTTTTGATTTGTATTTCCCTGGTAATAAGTGGTGATGAATATTATGCCATTTGCCTGTTGGTCATCAGTTAAGTGACTTTGGAGAAGTTTTTATTTCAGTCTTCTCAGTTTTGATTGATATATTTGTTTTCTTTTTAGTTTGAAATAGCCCATTTGTTATTTTTGCTTTTGTCAAGACAGTGAAGACATTACCAAAGCCAGTTATTTAATGTATTGCTGTGTTTTTCTTCAATATATTTTATGTTTTCAGGTCTTACAACCAAGTCTTTAGTCCATTTTTAGTTAATTTTTTGTGGACAATATAAGCTAGGTCTGGTTTCATTTTTTTGCATATGACTATTTCCCAATGCCATCTGTGGACAAGGCTATCCTTTATCCATTGTATATTCTTGGGCACCTTCGTTGTATGCTGTCCTGATAAGTGTGGTTTTATTTCTGTGCTTTCTATTCCATTTACTCTGTGTCTATTTTTACACCAAATGCCATGCTGTTTTGATTATTGTAACCATTTAGTAGAATTAAAAGTCTGAAAGTGTGATATCATCATTCTTCTTTTTCTTCATTAGGATGCTATGGCAATTCAAGGTCTTTGATGGTTCCATTAAATTTTCTGTATGTTTGTTCTATATCTTTGACTGGATCTGGTGATTTCAGTCACTAATGGGAGTAAAAGGGAGGAGTTTGCCTCATGTGTGCGGAGCTGTCAGTGTATTTCCCCTCTTGGGTTTCAAACCAGAATCTCTTCAATCTTTCAGCTGTCAGTGTGCTTTAAAGGTGAATACCAGTCCTGTGGGATTGGGGTGATGGGGTGCAACCCAGTGTACTGTTCTTTTTTTTTTTTTTCTTTAAAGATTTTTTTATGCATACAGAACTGAGGTACAGGCCAGAGGTACAGGGGCAGGTAAGAGGCTTCACCAGAGACAGAGTGGGGAGCAGATCTGATGGATCTACTGAAATACATTGCTGAGGGGAACAGCGGGCGGGTCAGGGGAGGTCTGCCATGCTGTGTGGGTCACCTCTGGAATGGGGATCGGACTCGTACTTTAGCTTCTTAGTGCTGTGCTTTAACTCTCTGCACCACCAGGGAGGGCCCACTGTCCTTATTTTCAGTGAGGGCCAGAACTCCAAAGCACCCCAGCTCCTCTGTACATTTTACATTAGTTAAGGAGGTGTGCCTGGACACCATTTTTCCTTTCTCTCCCCAGGGCTTCTGGCTAAATAGTAGTGCTACATTTTGTACAGCAACCTCCCATCCTGTACCACAGTCTCCACCTATCTCTGGTCAATGAAGCATGAATCTCCTTGGTAGTCTGTATTGGTCTCCTGTTGGTGTCCAACAGGTGCTCCATTTTTACCCCAAATTTAAAATATTAGACTATAACAAAAGGTCTGTTTGCCTCTGTTAAGTTACAAAGTTCTAGGTTTTTGGTAATTTTTTTCCCTCTAGATTGAACAAGCAAATCTCTTAAAAAATTATTCTAATTGTGTCCATGTGTTTCAAACTGAACAGACATATGGAGTACGATATAAATAAATCCATTCAACTGTTTATCTGTATTCTATTATTAGACTCATAAGTTCAAATATAAGAGTATATTAAATAATACATTGGTGCCTTTGAAGCAAATTATTTGACAAAAGGGAAAAAACATGAAGAAATACATGTAACTATGAGGCTGGCGCATTAGAATTTTTCAATTGAACTTTCTAGCTTGCCTATTTCAATAAATTACTACAAGTATCTGATATACTCTTTGGGGTGGTCTCTGTGACAATGGAGGTTTAGCTCCTCCTGTGGAGTATTGTGGGATTTGAGGTAAGCAAGCTTTGAGTCTCTGGTTTTTCCTTTGCAGGCCTACAACGGGCACCACCAAGCCTTGGAAGTTCTGCTGCAGTCTCTGGTGGACCTGGATATCAGGGATGAGAAAGGCCGCACTGCTCTGGACCTGGCTGCCTTTAAGGGACACACAGAATGTGTGGAAGCACTTGTCAACCAGGGTGCATCCATCTTTGTAAAAGACAACGTAACCAAAAGAACCCCACTTCATGCCTCAGGTAGATTTTATCAAACATATGACTCCCCTAGTTTGGGGGTCTAGTTTAAAGTTTGAGTAAAAGAATAACAGCCTCTTCTTTTATCATGGCTTTTAAAATAATAGTTTTCTTTTCATCTCAGATGTGCCTGTTTATCCAAATGTCTTTGGCCTACTGTCTACTTGGAGATGATTGTTTTTCTCTAATCAGACAGACTCTGATTCTTTAAAGATATCACTTTATAGAGCAGTTTTAAATTCACATCAAAATTCAAAGGTGCAAAGATTTCCTGAATATTCCCTGCCCCCAAATTTATGTAGCATTCCATATTTTTAATATCTTTTACTGGAGCAATAACATTTATTATATTTGATGAATCTACGTTGACACATCATGCTCATCAAAGTCCACAGTTTACATTAGGGTTCACTCTTTGTGTTTTACATTCTATGATTTTGGACAAATGACATATATCACCATTTTAATATAAATAATACAATACTAAAAAGACTACCTGATAATCTTGTGGACTTCACCTGGCTTTCTTAAGTTAGAGAAAGTTTAGATCCTTTCTTTGGTCAAGGTCTTTCACAAAACTATCTGAAGAAAAGATAAGGTTTAATGTGATCTTACACACATTACAGAGAATATACAGATGAGTTACAGAGAACAAAATCACAGGACATTTTAAAGCATTAAAAGTAATGGTAATTCAGAACTCTTGTGTAAATGGAGTTGCCAGACAATAATATGGCAATAATATCATTCTGGCAGACTAAATGATGCTTCTTAGCTTTTGGCCCAATTCTTGAGACAGCAAGTATAAAAATAGAGTCTAAAAAAGTGCATGCATCAAAAAATTTAGTAATTTGCTTTTTCTGCTGTTTTTTTCTCTAATGTACCTGAAATGAAATTATGTGAAGTCCCTACTAGACATTTACACAGTTATAACAATAATGTGGAAGACTCTCTAGCTCAGCTAAGTTATAAATGTTTTTAAGGTCAGGAAATTCCAACAATACTAGAGTTTTCTCAGAAGAAAAGATACCATTTGTAAAGAGAAATAACTGTCTTACTTTATGAAATAAAGGGTATATTGAAGATACAAAGGAATGGAGACAGTTTTTCAAAGTACTTTATTCCTCTTACTTGGGAAATGTTTGACCTTGTGGAAATATTTCCATCCACATTTCTGAGTATCCAAACCACTGAAGAAAAACAGCATGGAAATTGAAAAGAAAAAACATGGCAGTTGCTTAATTTTTGGAAATGATATTTCTTGGAAAGATAACTTAGCTATTGAGGTTAACAATGGTTGGTATGGTTAAATTATAAATCCTTTTTCCCCTACTCTGTTAGTCTTTTTTGCTCCCTATGCATTTTGGTATCATTATAAAGTTCAAATTCCGTACTCCTTCTGAAAGATTAGTTGCCTATTATTAAATCAAGCATCCTGCTTTAGTTACCATGTACTTCCTGACAATTACAAAGGGTCTGTTTTGATTGTGGAAAATCACCCTTGTGAACAGGTAAACAATGAAAAACAATCATTGTCAGGCACTTGCCTCTGTGATATAGGTTGCAGTCCAATGGAGCCCCCTAGTGGTCAAGATGCCACCCTTCTTTTGGACTTCCTTTATGTCATTCATTAAAAAGAGGCAGGCTGTCATTTGACTTTGTCTTCCACAAAATGTCTCCTGATTAGAAGCCTTAGCCTGTGCTTTGGGGATCTGCTTATCCAGAGTCATTTCCAACTCACTTCAAAGGCCAATTTCCCCCTTCCTTCCCTACCCTCCCCCCCCAAGTCTTGGGAGTATTGTGAAGAACAGGAGCCAGGATGAATATTAAAGGTTTTGGCAGAGTTGCAATGACAGTTGTGTTCTCTGAGCAGCATGAAAAATGACTGTCACTCATAACCAGGGAAAGGCTGAGCTAGCCTGAGACAAAGCTGGCTTTGGCAGGACACAGCTAAAGGAGATTGTTAGCATTTTTTTGCTAGAAGGTCATGGGGCTGGGGGATGTCATATGTGAGAGGCCAACAAGAATTCTAATTTGGCTATACTTTCACAATAAGAAGTGATTTACCCAAAGGTATTATATAAATTCATAAGGCAACTATATCATCCCACATACAGCCATCCCAAAAAGCACAACTGAAGAAATTGATTTGTTGTCCAACACACTAGATGAACAATAGGAACTTAGATTCCCCCCCTTTTCTGATTAACCGAAAATCAAACACCCTTGAAACTATCATGATTATGATTAGCTAGAGAATGTCAAATTGGTACAGAAGAGGAACCAATCAAAATAAACTGTTTCTCTAATTCATGCACTAAACTGTCAGTCCTCTACCAAATCATTTCCTTTTCTGGCATACATTAACCTCCTTCCTTGTTTTACCAGTGGCAACAGATTTAGTATAATTTTTTAAATAAACCAAAAAAACAACAGCAACAATAATATATGGCCTGTACTACAGTCCACAAAATTTCCTCCCGAGAGACATAAATGGAGTTTTGCTCTGAACGAGCTGAATGCAGTGTTCTGCAAAATATGGGCATTATTCCTGTAGTTAATTTGAGTGGTGTCGATGAATGTGAGCTGATTCTGATATATATTATCCTTTAAAAAATGTGTCCTTGCTAAATTAGCTTTCTCTCATGACTGGCATGTAATAAAAAGGACTGTAAAACACAGCTCTTAGAAGAGCCTTTATCAACCTAACATTGCTGCATCCATTTCCCTCTCTCTCCATATCCATAATGAGGTAAATGCCATGTATTATGTGGTGTGCTCATTGTGCAGAGAGGAGAGGTCATGTTTGGAATTTTAAACATATTTATTCTCATCTTATTCCCTGAGTGGAAAATCATGTCTATTCTAAGGCTCTGGTTCCATTAAATAAGCTGGAGGAATAGTATCTTATTCAAAGGGAATGTCATCCTAGGAGGTTTGCTTTCTAGCCCCCTGGCATCAACAGCTAAAAGAAGCATCTTGTCAGGCACACACATAGGGGCTAATCTGTGTATTCCTGCCCCAGCTGGTCAAGGCCAACATATGTCCTGCCCACTGCTGACCCCCACTGGGTTTGCAGGATAAGGGCCACAGGACAGTGCCTGGAAAGGAATGAGAAGGCACTGCATTTAAGCTCAGAGGGAAGGAGAAAGAAAGGGAGAGTGTCTGGGAGCATGCTTGCGTCCCTGGAAGACAAAAAAACAGAAGGACTGTGGTTGAGGAACCCTGGGCAGAAGAGTCCTGTAGCCACAGGAAACGCTTCTGTAAGTCAGTTGAACAGTGAGTCAGTGGCTCCTGTATATCTTTCTGGCTCAAGGGTTTGCTTTCTTTCAGCCACCACAGATCAGTCAGAACTATTGCTCAAAGAACTGCTTCAGAATGTAAAATGGGGCTGTGGGAGAGAGCAGGGCCTGTTTCTTTCGGGTCTCCCAACCTCCTCTCCACTTCTCCCTCCTCCCCTTTGCTGCTCTTCTCTTCACCCTCTCCTTCACGTCCTCCCCCTCTACTCTCCCCATCCTATTTCTGTTCATTCTTCCCACCTTCTCTCCCTTCCTTCTTTTTAAAAAGGACTGGAGACAGGCTGGATATGGGATGATTATCTGGAACAGGTGATTTTCTCTTAGAGGAATGAGAAGGATAACTGGAAAATGGGGAGAGATTATCAGTCCAATACAAGGAGATGAGAAAAAAAAAATGTCATGTTTAAGAAAATAAAACCCTTAATACAGAAGCCAGGAATGAGAAAGGTGAAGGTCAAAGTGCCGTGATAGAAGGAAGGGGAAAAAAAGTTAGTAACACAAACGCGGGGTCCCAGTGAGCCCCGAGGTAGCGTGGACTAAAAACCTGGGATATCTGTCAGTAGTGATTGAAAGCCACTAATTTGAAGTCCAAATAAATTTCATCTTGGAGGGGCAGATGTAGTGTTGGTCTGTTAAGAGAATGTCTGTTGTTTTCTTTTCCAGTAATTAATGGTCACACACTGTGTCTGCGGTTATTGCTAGAAATTGCAGACAACCCAGAAGCGGTTGATGTGAAAGATGCCAAAGGACAGTAAGTGTTCCCACATTTGCTCTGGGCCTGACATTTCTATCACGACCTGTTAACTTGTTAAACAACTAGGATACCTGTCTGCTGAGTTCTCGGTTGGGTACATATTTAAGGGAAATTCACAGGTGAGGGTCCAATAATCACATGGTGGCTCTGTGCTTGAATATATAGCCAACAAATGTACTTGGGTGTGTGAGTATGTCCACCTTTATGAAAAAGAACCCACTTAAAGGTATCCTGATAACCTTTAAAATACATTCCCTCCTTTTTGATTTCTTTCTATCCATTTTTGCGCCCCCCCCGCTCTCCATTCCCATTTTATTTATTTTTTTTAAAGATTTATTCATTTATGGATACAGAGCTGGGGTACAGGCCAGAGGTGCAAGGATGGTGAGAGGTTTCACCAGAGACAGAGTGGGGAGCAGAACAAGCCAAATGATGAAGTACACTGCTGAGGGGAGCAGCGGGCGGGTCAGGAGAGGTCTGCCATGCCATGTGGATCTCCTCTAGGGCAGGCAGGGATCAAACTCATGTGGAAGTGGCTTTAGCTTCTTAGTGCAGTGCTTTTAACCTGCTGTGCCACCAGGGAAGGCCCCATTCCCATTTTAAAAGTTAATAATGGCAATAGGACAGACCTTAAGAAGTTATCCCTATCATAAGCTTCCTCTATTTTTTTTTTTCTTGAGTCTGTTTCTCCACAGTACTTTCTTTCTGCTATCTTCCCCACTCAGTCTTCTCTTATACATAGGAATGCAGAATGGAACCGCACTGGGGGCTCATCTAGACAGATGGGTGAGGACCTCATCGCTTAGACCCCAGCCCTCCATTCTTTTTCTGTAGACTTAATCAGACTTTTCTTAAAGATAGTGAAGCTTTGTTCAAATGAAATCTTAAGCAGAAGTCCAAGCTGGAAAATTCTGAAAGTAGAGCTGTTCTACAGAACCAAGAAGGTCTCTACATTTACATAACCCCTACCCAACTAATATTTCTTAAAATGCCGCCTGCCCTCCCAGTAGTGACCATCCCACTAACTCCATCCCACTTGATGGCCATGTGGGACCAAAGCAATCTGCTTGTTTCATGTACCATGTGGCAAAGTGGAGACACAGAAAACATTAAGCAGTTGTTAAGAGGAGAGACAAAAGTCAAAGAGAAGAAGGCCCTCTTGCTGAAGGTAGGAAGCCTTTTAAAAATCTTCTTTTAAAAGCCTAATTTATCCCTCTTCCTAGAACCCCACTGATGCTTGCTGTAGCATATGGGCACATTGATGCTGTCTCGTTGTTACTGGAAAAGGAAGCCAATGTGGATGCTGTTGACATCATGGGATGCACGGCTTTACATAGAGGGGTATGTACATCTCCCTTAGTTTTAAGTCAAACAATTTTGTAATAAGCTAGTTTTCTCCTTTTTACTTCTATATAATTTTTTTAATCAAAAGATTGTTTCCTAAGGCCAGTTAACCAGAATATCACCAAGCAATCACAAAATCTTTTCCAAAGGTAAAATTTTGGCAAGCACACTTAAAGAACTCTTGGAATTTCGTGTTACGTTGTAACCATAGGCCCATGAGCCCCCACTCTTGATGAAATTGATTCTGCTTTCTGATTACAAAATGCATGCACTTTATAGAAATTTTTCAAAAATATTTTGTAAAGCAGAGAGAATGAATTCACAATCACCAGTAACCCTGCCTCTTGAAGATAACCACTTTTCTGTTATAGTCATAACTTTTTGTTCTCTCTATATAATTTGTTTTAAAGCTTTGAGGATACTGAAGATTTCTTGAATATTTGTAACTTGCATTTTTTTCCTTTCAGTGTGTCACATACTGTTTCCTGTGTCATTAAATATTTTTCTGACCTACCATTTTTTAACACTCCATCATGCTGAGATATCATAATTTATTCTAATGATTACCTAGTGTTGGATAGTTGTTATCTTTTTAAAAAAGATTTATTTATTTATTCATACAGAACTGGGGTACAGGCCAGAGATGTGGAGGGTGAGAGGATTCACCAGGGACAGAGTGGGGAGCAGAACAGGCAGATTGATGAAGTACACTGCTGAGGGGAGCAGCGGGCGGGTCAGGAGAGGTCTCCCGCGCCATGTGGTCACCTCCATGGCAGGCGGAGATCGAACTCATGCAGAAGTGGCTTAAGCTTCTTAGTGCAGTGCTTTAACCTGTTGCGCCACCAGGGAGGGCCAGATAGTTGTTATCTTTAATATCTAGTTATTGCAAATATTGCCCTTCACCCCTGAAATATGTATCCTCTAGGCAAGTCTTTGTACATATATGTTATTAAAACCTGTCAAATAAGCTAAGTGAAACTAAAGTAGAAACCATAAAATTGCTGTTTAGAGGATGGTGTTGAAGACCATGATAAATGAAGAAGAGCTCTTAAGTGTCCTAATTATAGTTCTTATTTCTGTTTATGGGCCATGCACCAACTGGGAGCCTCTGTACATGTCAGAAGTCCTCCTAACAGTCCATGAGGTTATTACAACCATTCCATTTATGGAATATAAAGTAAGGCACGGGCAGGTGAATTGACTTGTCCAGATTTCACAAGCGGGAGTCGGGCTTTAACTCACACCTTCTTGATTCTAAAGCTGATACTTTCCACTATATCATGATACCTTTCATGCTTATGTTTGGAGAGTCAATAGATGGTCCCAAAGTGCTGGGGTTCACAGACTTGTGTCATAACTCCTGCTGGAGTGTCCAGCCTGTCTCCTCTGAAGTAGGACAGAATCTACTTCTCTTCAGACCCAGACAGATGCTAACTTCCTCTGAACTCAGTCTCACTTAGCCACTGGTTTCCTGAGTCATCTGCCCTACTGAGGTTTGTTTTATGACTTTAATTGTGATACATCAGATTATAACGGGACACGAGGAATGTGTGCAAATGCTGCTGGAGCAAGAAGTGTCAATTCTCTGTAAAGACGCTAGAGGGAGGACACCCTTGCACTATGCTGCTGCTCGTGGCCACGCCACCTGGCTGAGTGAGCTACTCCAGATGGCACTTTCTGAGGAGGACTGTTCTTTCAAGGATAATCAAGGCTACACGCCGTTGCACTGGGCTTGTTACAATGGTGAGTTGATTGTTATTAACCGATTCCAGTAGCCACTATCCCAGCATCACTGTGATCTCAGTGGAGGTAAGAACATGGCATAACTATAGAAACCATGGCCTCCACTCTTTGCATCCACAATGCCTGCTGTTGTTCTAGTATTTTTCCCTCCATGGCTGCCATGATGCCTTCATGCAGTAAAAATTTATTTCTCCTACCCCCCCTTTTTTTTGTTACAATAATGCATAATTCCTAATCAGAATTCTGGTGTATTAAAACAACCAGTTTTAATCAGGTTTCCGAACTCCATGAGTTGACGACCACAGTTCCATCAATGAGTTAAACTAATAAAGCTAAAAACAAACCAGAAAGATGTAATAACCTGTCACGCTGGCTACAAAACGACAAATGATTTCATCAGTTTGTCTTTGAGGGGTTCTTTTCCATGTTTCACATCCCCCATTCATTTTGTTGCACTTGGGACTTTAAATTTTTTTATTTCACTCTGTAGAGTACAAAGGAAATGCATGCTAACTGTAACATTTCACAAATACTGAAGTGTCTAAAGTAAAAATAAGACTCCATTTCCAGACTCACTTTCTGATATAATTTGGTACTTCTAGTTCATGATTTTTTCCTTAAGCATATTAATAGATGTAAATCTATGTCCACCTATTTTTTAAGCTAGAATAAATATAATTTTATAATTTTCTTTTTTATTACCTTTACTTAGCATTCTGTTGCAGATATCCTTACTTAATATGTAGGAATATAGATCAGTATTTTAAAGAGTTGTGTATTATTCTGGAACAGGTAGATGGATGTAGTTGTACATGTACATGTGTGTATACCAGAATTTGTTATTTATTCAACCAGCTCTCTATTGATAGACATTCCAGTTGTTTTCAGGGTTTTTTTGCATTATAAAAAATTCTGCTGTGTTTTGTAAGTATGCTCATATTATGGTATCTCAAATTCTAAAACCTATCCAGAATAAAATTATTGATCAAAGGACATGCATATTTTTAAATTTTAGTGAATTATGCCAAATTTCTTTGCAAAAAAGTGTGTCATGATTTGCTGTTCCACCAAACATTTTCTCAAGTCTTTGCCATCCCAAGATACCTTTTTTTATTTTTGTCCATTTGAAGGGCAAAGAGGGGGTGGAATCTCATCATTTTAATCTTGTGTTTCCTATCTTATAGTGTCTTTATGTATTTATATCCCCTTTTCTGGAAATTACTTTTTCTATTACTCTTTTATTCTATTTTCCCATACATTTATTGGAGCACCTTATCTTAGAGATAGGAATCTCCTGTGTGTTTGAATGTTTTCTTTCAGTCTACCATTTGTCTTGGCTCCTTGTTCATTTTTTTTTTTTACAAGCACAGAGTATGAACTTTTATGTTGATGAGTCTGTCGTATTTTTCTTTTAGAGTGTCTAGGTTCCCAGTCTTGCTTACAAAATGTCCCCACCTCTAGTTCATATGGATATTTCCTCTGATATTTCTTACTTTGCTTCTATAATTTTATTTTCCATTTTCAACTCTTCTGTTAAAACTTTCACTCAGAAAATCTGATTATTTGGCCCAGAAAGTTTTTTGAGCATTGCTAATCAAAAAGGGTTCTCTAACCTTCCCACAGCCATCACTTAATAGATTAAAAAAAAAAAAATTCAGTTCTCCAGTGGCAAGAAGGGAATGAAATCAAGCTAACCAAATAGAAAATGTAGTTCTTAGTGATGTCAGAACCAATGGAAAACAGAAGATGAAGTGTAATGAAAATGTAATAAAAGTTCTTAAGTTGGTATCATTAGAGTCTCCAAGCTGTGACATCTGTCTGGAAACCCTACAGAAAGGAGAAGATGTAGTAGAGGTACTGATCTGAATGGCAGGTGGCAAACTACCTCTTCTCTCCGGTGGGTGGGGGGGGGGATGGGGAGGGGAGGTGTAGAAATGATAAGTCTCTGTTCATAAGGCGTCTCTTGTTACAAGCCAGGTGGAGAAGCTGTTGTCCCCTAAGCTATTCAGCAGGCAGTGCAGTCTTCTCCCATTCCTGAGGCCTAGGCTCCATCTTCCCAGAATCCTTTACTCTGGTTCCTTGACCTTCAACCCTATCTGCACTGACCCTTGGATTGGGATTCATGTATTCTCTGACGTTATGTGTAGATGCTGTCCTAAGGTAGGTCCTTTGGGGAATTCATACTGATAGAGGCTTTCAAGTGTCTGGGACTACTTAAGTGAGGATTTGGTATAGTTGGGAAGTTAAACTGTCTCTAATCTCTCTAAAAGCAGTTGTACTTTTTCTCTCTGTTGGCACAAGAAAAAGTTTGATTTGTGTTTTAATACTGAAAATTCTGCAATCTTCATTATTCTGAGGTAGTTCATAGGGGAACTGTAATTCAGCATTTAGTTTAGCCGAAAAGAGACTCCAGGCCAACAGTCTGTGTACCACCGCTAAACAGCTTTGTCTTCTAGCCTTAGCAATTGCATGTTCTTCACAATCGTATTTAGGTACTTTATCAAGTAAAACATTGCCATAGGTAGGACAGGTACTCTGGTCCAATTATTTTATATGTGGAAAACAGAGATGTACAACCCCCCCACCCCTCCACCCCCCACCCCGCAAGTCAGTGGCTTAAGATAGTATAACAAGTAAGCAAAGAGTAATAAAGTGATTTGGATACTTATTTCACTTATTTTTATTAATACGTGTTGGATATATGCTATTTGCAGGAAGTATTCTTGGTGTCATTTTAAACGATCACTAACAGCAAAGCCCTTTTATTTGCATTATGTCAAATACTATTTTCTATCAATCACAGCTTTCCTTCACTCACAGAAATAATTGTGAGAGGGCCTATTTATATGGGTGGAAGGTGTTTTCCTATTGTAAATACAGCCAAACTGAGACATAACTCTCTTAGGCATCTATTTTTCAAGAGCTGAGAGTAGCGTAGAATCTATTCTGTTTGCAAATGAGGTCTCTTCTCTATCCCTTTCTTGTCACTAAGCCATATCACTGTTTTATGTGTTCATTATGTCTCAGAACACCTGTGAGCATAATAAATGACATTTTGTGAATTTTATTCCATGGAGAATGAAGAATCAGTCAATTCAGGAAAATTCATAGCCATAATTTTATACTTAAAAAAAATAGACTGTGGTAAGTTATTTTCTTGGACCTTTTCAAATTCTTTTGATTCCTTGCAGGTAATGAAAACTGTATAGAGGTACTTTTGGAGCAAAAATGTTTTCGCAAATTTGTCGGTAATCCTTTTACTCCACTGCACTGTGCAATGTAAGTAGAAATGCTGGAAGTAATGGTGTTTAATTTTTTTAACTACACATAATAAAATTGCCTTTTAAGAAAAGGAAATGCTTTTAGATTACAAATAGGACCAATACATTCCATTTTTCTTTTAAAAGCAAATAGGTCTGATAGCAAAGTGCTAAAGCTAATGTTAATGATTTTCTAGGAGCTTTTTGCTCACATCCCACATTAGGGAAATTACACAAAGACAGGGCGAAGGGGTACTTTACATACCAGATGAAGGGTCTTCAGCTGAACCTCCATTCATCTGTCAAATTCTAAAAATGGGTTGGGGTTAATAACAATGGGCCTATGGAAAATTAGAAAGGCATTTTATATCAGTAGGATTTTGAGTTTTGGGGTGTCAGATTAGTACCTGAGAGGGATATGCTGCTGGTTGGGGATTTGTGGTGTATGACAGTGTCCTTTGTTACACAGAAAATTTCTTTTTCTTTTTTATTGAGGGACTATTGATGTATAACATTACATTAGTTTTAAGTATATGACATAATGGTTTGACATATTGCAAAATGATCACCACAATTAATCTAGGCAACATTTGTCACAATTCATAGTTACAGATATTTTTTATGAGCTAAGCAGCACTTTTAAGATTTACTTTCTTAGTAACTCTCAAGTATGCAATGTAGTATTATTAACTGTAGCCATCATGCTGTACATTATACTCACATGACTTGTTTATTTTATAAATGGGTGTTTGTACCTTTTGACCTCCTTCACATATCTTAGATTTGGATGATGAATATCTACCTGCGTCCAACAATATTGTTACTTTGGCTTCTGGAATTCCCATTAGAAATATATCTATTCCTTCTTTGGCAAAGTGATGAATGGCCTAATGACTCTCAGTGGTCTGACTTTTGCTCACTTAGATTTTGATGTGCCATTGGGCACAAAAGTCCAGATTTCTTGTTTTCCCAAGTCTCCTAGTGACTTGTGTTTTGAACTCAAGGTCCCAATTAATCCTTTAGCTGCTACTACCTGCTGTGGATTCCAATAAATAACTGTCCTAGAACCTTACTGGAAACTTTAGTAGCCACCTTTCTTTAAAAGATTTTTGATAAAGTTTGTTTGGATCAGAGAGCTGCATACAAAGGAGTGGAGCTCAAATCTGAGTGAGACTTAGCCATAGCCCTTGGTATGTAAGAGAAATTGTAAAGGCAAAGTCTTCAGCAGGTACCTCACCTGTGATCTCATCCTGTAGATCACTAGCAATCAGCTTCAGATCCCTTCATTTTTCTGCAAATATGCTGTAAAAATGATTTGAAGGACACAATTTAGTTGATAAAAACAAAATTTATTTACGATTTCATGAAACAAGATGGGGAAAGGAGAAGCTGCCTGCCTCATCAGAGTGCTCAATAATTTGTCTCACCTACATTCTTATTAAGTCATTTTAACAGAATATAACTATATATAGTTATTTTGAAATGCCTCAAGTTTTTTTGAAATGCCTCAGATTGTTAAATAAAGAGTATATAGGGATATGAAGTATAGGGCATATATCATTATAAGTTTTTATATCATATTTTAAAGAGAACGACCTCAAAATTTTAAATCCATTTCCATTTTAGAATAAATGACCATGAGAATTGTGCATCATTGCTACTTGGGGCCATAGATTCCAGTATTGTCAATTGTAGAGATGACAAAGGCAGGTACGTAATCCTAACAATTTCTTGTCTTGATGAATATTGGTCACTACTTTGTGATCAGAAAACATAATGTATAGGCATGGTATTAAAATTTTAACTTAAATATGATTAAGGGTATATTTAAAAGAAATTTCATTCTTAGCTCAAAAACTCCAGCCTCTCCCACAAAGAAAACCACTTTAAAATGTGCCTTCTAAATTTTTGTAACCTCTCAATATTCCTATACATAGTTCTAAACTTAAATATATGTTATATTCTTTTTATACAAATGGGAGAATTCTATAATAATGCTTTTAATATATTTTGTACATCTTTCTGTGCCAGAAATATAGATTTACCATGCCCCTTTTAAAGCTGCACATTATTCTACTGCAGGAACACATTATCATCCTGCCCTCGCTGAGAGGACATTTAGGTTGTTTACGGTATTTTGCTAATTCAAAGAGTCTGGTATGTGTGTCTGTTCGCAGGACCTCATGTATCTGGGAGATAAAGTCCTCGAAGTAGAATTACTTGGTTAAAAGATAAATAGTTCTAAATTTTGGTAAATAATGCTAAGTTTTACTGCCAAAGAAACTGACTGTTCATATTAGAAAATGTGTGATTTTAAAATTTTAAAACAATCTATCATCTGCAAATTTAAGGCTTAATTTTGAAAATGTCTTTGTCAAATACAAGAAAGAAGTCACTGGAACTCAAGATTAAAGGGTCAATAAAGATGTTCATTTCATTATCCAGAATGCAACCTGTACCCCCTAAATCTAGAGGTGCCACTGACATAGGTGACAGGTCAGTGTCTGCCTAACTGACCTTTAGAGGAGTTAAATGTCTCTGTATACTGAGCCAAACACTTGATAGTTATAGGTTAGTTCTCTTAAGTATATATACATTTGAAAAAAATGCTTTATTATTCCACATATTATTTCTCATTTTATACTTTCAATTATTCACACACACACACACACACACACACACAATTAAATGCAAAAATATAGAAATAAGATTTTCTTGGGGATTGATTTTTTTTTAAGTCAAATTTTATAATTTCTATTTCTTGTTTGCTATCAACTTCCCCTGGATTTTTCACTTCTCACTGAATTGGCCCTCCTTCATATTTTTTTTATTGAGGTAGCTGATTTACCACACTGTGTATGATTCAAAGGCACAAGATCACACCTCTTCAGACTCACGTCACATGAGAAGTTTCAAATGCCTACAGCAACGCCATGCACATACTTCTGGGGTCTTTACAGAAAGAGAATGTGTTAGCTTAAAGGAAACTAAAGTCACTTTTGTTTTAAATGGTTAGGACACCGCTTCACGCAGCAGCATTTGCTGACCGCGTGGAGTGCTTGCAGCTTCTCCTGAGACACAGTGCTGAAGTGAACGCAGCAGACAACTCAGGGAAAACGCCGCTGATGATGGCTGCTGAGAACGGGCAGGCCAGCGCTGTGGGTATGTGCCTGATGTGAGGACTCGTCTATACAAGACCAAGCTAACATTAAGTTGAGAAATAAGGTGCTTTCTTGGTATACACATGTGAAAAAGAACCACTCTTTATTTAATCCCCCTGACTCTACTTGCTAATCGTCTTCAGCCCCTACTTTGTCTTTAGTGCATGTTGTCAAACTGAGCCAACCGTTCCACTGTGAAATTTCTCAACATTCAGAAACCAGACCTGAATAGAGTTATTTTACCTGGGAATGATGAAATGGTTAAGATAATTTAGAGTAATGGTTATTGACCTTGGATTTGAACAGAGCAAATATAGCAATAAGCTCATTCCTTTTTCTTTAAAAACATTTAAGTATGATTATTGGGGCTGTACTCATTTAAATGTTATGCTCTATTTAGTATCTTCTTCAAAATGTACCTAAATCAACACGTGGTCCAAGTAACTCTCTTTTGGCTTTCTTATAGATATTTTGGTGAACAGTGCCCAGGCTGATCTGACTGTAAAGGATAAGGATTTGAACACACCCTTACATTTGGCTAGCAGTAAAGTATGTAAATGAATTATAAATATTGCTAAGTAATATAGCTATAGTAATGACAAGAATAATAGCACTTAAGTTCTGTCTCAGAAGTGTGTATCATAGTTCTTAATTAAGAGGTATATTTTCTCAAGATGTTTGATTTTTGACAGTGGAATGGAAGGATGGGGAACAAAGAGCAAACCCATGGAGGGTTGGTGAGGTTTGTTCTCCATGGCATTTACCCCTTGTATTCTCGCTAAAGTCTTCCTTGATGCCACCAATGTGTTTGTCTCTATGGTTGTGGTACCATATTTTGGTTTTAAACACAGGTTACAATCTTAGTTACATGATTTCTAAAATACAAACAGTTCTACTTGTTTTCAGTATATTCCATTTGGACACTTAATAATAACACAGCCAAAAGATGCTCTCCTGCAAGGCAAATAGGTGTGTTCATGTGGGTGTTTTTGCATAGAAAATCCTATAGGCAACATATTTAGGGGAAAGTATTTATATAAGATAGTTCAGGTCAAAAAATATGTTTGATGGTGGTGGCTTTTCTTTTGTTGTTTTTTAATAGCATCATTCTCATATGTAGGTTCCATAAGAGAGAAATCATATACACATATATATGATTCTAAAAAAGTGGGATTATACCGTCTTATAACCTGCTTTTGTTACTGAAACATATATAAAATATCTTCCATCATATTTTATAGTTGGGGAATGTGCCATGCAGTCTCTCCTGTATTATTAGATAATTCCTTGTTTTCAAATGTATGCTACTATAAATAATGATAATTACAAAGTAATATTTTTAAAGCAATCTTTACTCATTTTGAATAAATTTGTAAAGGTGAAATTACTGAATCTAAACCTACAAACATTTTTAAGAACAGATCTCCTATAATACAATCACAACAGCTTATACTTCCACCAGGAACATCAGAATGAACCCCCATAAACATTTCTAAAATTATATTTGAGTCTCCTTCATATGACATTAGAGTATGATGGCAGTTGTACCGGAGACAGTGGTTATTTAAATAGTTATGAAGTGTGCTAGCTATACCCACTGATGGTGAAAATTCAGCTATTCTTTTCATCAGTTTTCATCAGTTGTATTTGTCTCACTTCATGCTTGGGAAAGCCCATGAGACCACAGAAGTGGTCATGAAGTGAATTTTTTTTTTAAGATTTATTTATTTGTACATACAGAACTGGGGTATAGGCCAGAGGTGCAGGGGCAGTAAGAGGATCCACCAGAGACAGAGTGGGGAGCAGAACAGGCGAGTGACGAAGTGCACTGCTGAGGGAGCAGCGGGTGGGTCAGGAGAGAGCTGCCGCACCATGTGGGTCACCTCCAGGGCTGGGGATCAAACTTATGCTGAAGTGGCTTGCACTTCTTAGTGTTGTGCTTCAACCCGCTGCACCACCAGAGAGGGCCCAGGGATGGTTGCTTGATAGGACATTGGTCTGACATCCTGAAGGGATCTCTGACTTATCAGTTCATTTTTTCCCTAATTACCAACCATCTCTTTGGTCTGTTGTTATAAGATGCAGAGCTATGCCCCCTGGAATGAGGAAGAAAAGAATGAGCTTTTCTGAATGACTCTAATTACAGTATAAGGCAGTCGATGGTGATGAGTGATACACCTAACAGGTGTAATGGTAATTACCAGATTAGAAGGATCACTGAAGTGGTCACTGAAAACAAGGGAGGAGACTGAGCTTGCCTTGGGTTGAAAAATAGTATTGATCAGATTTAAAATATGAAATATTTAGAGTCTTGGAGAATCTAAGGGCCTTTCACCATTTATGAAGTAAAGGTTAAAGGGTTAAATTCGCAGGCAAAAGGAAGACGGAATTTATTTCAGTTCTTTGAGACTTGCTTTCCCAAACAGCAGAGCCTAAAGATTTACCAGCAAATAACCCAACCTTAGCCTGGGCAGACTTCACTAGCCCTGAGCTCAGCCTTGTGCCAGCTGACACAGATGGAGTAGGGGATGAGATGCCCAAAGCTGAGGGGCCCACAAACAGAAACAAACCTCCAGTTAACTGGAAAAGTAGAGCTTCTTCCTATTTCTGCCTGTATGAATTTCCACAAAATTAGCCAGTGACCTTCAGCCAAGTCTACAGTTCTTTGCCAGTAGCCCACTCCTTAGCCTATAATTTAACTTCTTTGTCTTCAGCCCCACTCCTCATGTCAATATTAAATCCCTTCCCCAGCCTAAAAGGTAGTAGGACGGGTTTGGGAAATTTCTCGTATCTTCTTGCTCGTGGACTTCTTTAATTTCTCTTTCAATCTCTCAAATGAAATGATGGCTTCATACTCAGCTTATGCCCATTGAGCAACTAGCCCATTGCTCTGTAACATTACCTTTTAGAAAATAGTATTGTAAAATGCTTTTAAGACCAGGACACTCATTTTAAATTCAAAGCAAATTGAGGGGATTTTTGAGAAAGTTTTCTGTGTCTCTTATCTTTTGTTTCTAATCGTTGTTTTCTTTATTAGGGTCATGAAAAATGTGCCTTGTTAATACTTGACAAGATACAAGATGAGAGCCTTATTAATGCAAAAAATAATGCACTGCAGACGTAAGTGTGACTGTTAAAATTTGACTTGAACCAGATTCACATTCATATTCATATTCATTGAGAACTTGCTCTGTTCTGGGTTAGATTGAGGAACACAGTGGCAAAAAAAAAAAAAAATAGACCTGGCTAACTTCATGAAGTTTACACTCATATCATTAGCTAGAGCATTTATTTTGATATGCCTTCACAGAATTTTGTGAGGTTTGAGTTTTTCTTTACTGGTATTTTTATGGTAGTATTATAAATTTAGTGGAGTATTTTAATCTTATAAGCAACATATTTGGGGAAACTATTGTACAAATGTATTAACATTATATGCTCTTAGTGAAGAATGACAATTTTATATATCAGGTTTCCATAATATATTTGAAGAGTGTCTAAGCTATTTGTCTTAATTATATTTTAATATAAATCAGTTTAACCTTCAACAGGAAAGAGTAAGAGCTGCCTCATTTTCCATCTCAGGAAATTACACATTTGTTTTAAGGAATATGAATATTAAGATTTTTTTGAAGGTCTTTAATATGTAGCAAGATACACTAGGGTTGACATTATTTTTATGATATCCTAATTCATTCATTCATTTAGTTCATTAATTTAGTAATCACAGGGAGGTTTGAGATTATGTGTGTGTGTGTATATATGTGTGTGTGTATATATATGCATATATATATGTATATATATATGCATATATATACATATAGATAATACACACACACACACACACACACACATATATAGTGTTATTAATGCCAGGAATATTGTGAGATGCTCGAGTAGAAATTGGTATAAAGAACCTTCTACAAAATATACCACAACTTGAGTTCTTCCTCTGACTTCTTGCTGTCATTGAGATCATTTGAGGTACAGAGAGTAGTATCTGCAAAGCTTACTGGGCCAAGATGGAAGAAATATGGATTCCTTAGCACCTAGAAAAGGGCTAGTCAACAAATACCTTTTTCAAGTAAAAATATTCATCTACCCTTTATAGATTCTTAAGTACCTGCTTCCTTTTAACAACAAGTACAACCCAACATGAGACATCTCACACACTTCCAGACTGCAGCTGACACTCAGTGTTACTTTTTCCAGGCCTCTCCATATTGCTGCACGCAATGGCTTAAAGGCTGTAGTTGAGGAGTTACTGGCCAAAGGGGCCTCTGTACTCGCTGTGGATGAGAACGGTAAGTGGGAAAAGTGATCAATTACTGCTGGCTTCCTCCATGTGCTATTTGAAGCCAAAAGCAAATGAGAAAGATAGAAGCTAGTTTAAAAAGTACTAAGAATTCTCCCCCCTGTGTGTGAGAAATCAAAGATAATCTGTCCTGTTTGTCTTTGTAAAGCACATAGTCTCTGTAGCCAGTGCCTTCCATTTTGCATGTAATGTCAACAGACGGTCAGCTGGTCGCTAACCCCTCAGCGTAGTGGTTAAACTATTTAGGCACATGAAAAAGATTCACCTTGGCCTTCAAAATTCTAATTGCATACGCTGAAGTGTTAGGGATTGCACATGTTAGTGCATGCTGAAGGACTTGAAGAAAAGCCTAGGTCTTTGTAGTTCTGTTCATTCTGAGAGCAAACTTTTTTTTTTCTTTCCATTAAAAGAACAAATGAGAACACATATTTCCAGCATGGGTATTTGGGGAACATGAATTAAAAATTTCTCATTAATGTCTATATTTGAAAGTTTATATAGCATTTCTTTTCCTAAATGAACTAACTTGTAACAGAAGCTTTCTACTCTGCTTCCTAAGAAATTTTGAAAGTAAATGAGTACTGAATTATGTTAAATTACCATTTTTAGCATTCTATCTATTAACCTTGGGGAGCAAAAGAGGAACTTCTGGATATTTATGATTTAAGTTCTTTTTTAAAAGTAGCTTAATTATGGCACATAATTAAAGTATTATAATAAAATGTATTAACATAACTTAATTAACTGCTTATTACAGGTATTGGAATTAGCAGCTCATACCTATTTCTGAGAAGTAAGCAGACATATGACATCATTAGCTAACTCCTAATAGTTTTGGTTTTGCAGCCCCATGTATCCTAGCATGTACCCTGCTCTGTCCCACACCTGATTCATTCCAGAAGCACAGAAAGTCCTTTAGTACCTCATCTCTGTGGTTTTCCTGCTCACCTTTCCTCACCCTATGACTACATTGGAGTTGGTGTGTAGCGGTCCATAGATTAGAATAAGCTCACTTTGTCTTTCACAGGTATAAGTCTGTTGCCTCTTGCTTTGTCCAGTGCAGGCAGTAGTGACCTTAGGAATAAAAGCTCAGTGTCTGAACTGTGACCTGTCTCAGAGCTTAGCTGCATCCAAAGGCCTGAGGATTATAAGGGGCAGTTTTGTACAGAGTTCAAATCACAGTCATTCATTAGATCTTTGTGGAAGAAATGAATGTACCAGGGTTACATCTATCTATTCTTATTTGTTTTCATACCAGAGAGAAAAACAATCTTTTGATGTATAGTGGGGCATCAGTCAGGTCAACAAAGTATTAACTTTTTTAAACCAATTCCTCTGATAAATGAATGAGTGGTTATGAACAAACTTCAGCCAGCAGAGAGAGCAGGCTAACCCTTTCAAGCCAGTAGAATAAAGGTTAGGTAGGGTGGTAATGAAATCAAGACTCTACCTCCTCATGGCATCTGTTTCACACACTGAGAAGGTTCTGTTTGCTCCACTGTACCCATCAGATCTGAATGGTAGTGAGTGGCATGACCCCAGGGCAACCATACCAGTTTCCCACACCTGTTATCTTTAGGATATCGGATATAGTTTATAGCATTGCTATTTTTAAAAATATATATTTTTAATTTGCTAAATTTTTAATCACAACCAACCAGTGCTTTCTTATGCGTGATGGATTCAAATGATTTCATTTCTTAGAGACAGATAATTTTATTTCAAATATATACTCACTTTTACTGACATCAGTTTCCAATATTTTCTAATCTGATACACAATTACCCACAACTGAAGCCACTGTTCTCAGAATGAGAGTGTCTGGCCCAAGCCTGAGGCGCATGGTGTGCTCTCTGCTGGAAACATCTTTCTGGTTGTCCTACTGTTGTTTTTTGTGGAATTGTGTCCTTTCCCCTACCCCTTGTGTTTCTGTCCACTAGATGAAGACTGAAATTCTGCCTAATTTTGAATAATTTTGTGTTGCATGTTGTCATATAAGCTGGGGGGGGAAAAAAACACTTCATAAAATGTCTCCCCCTCCCAATGTCCTCTGGCCTTATCCCTGGCATGACTTATGGAAAGTGACTCCTCCTTTTGTCTGGCATGATTTCTAACTCAACATACATCTCCACATGTGATGTTGTAGGAGATGTATTGTCGGATGCTCTCACCACCTCTGGAGTCCCGGGACTAACCACTGCCTTGTCTGCATTTACGCCCAGGTCATACCCCGGCCCTGGCTTGTGCTCCTAACAAAGACGTGGCTGACTGCCTGGCCCTCATTTTGGCTACCATGATGCCTTTTTCTCCTTCCAATACAATGACGGCTGTCAACTTCATTTGTTTAAAAAAAGACAATTTGAGCAGGACAACCCTCTCCAATCTGGGTAGCATGGTTAGCCTGTGTGGTAACAACGCAGGCTCGGAGGACGGGTACAATGAAAATGATTCTGATTCGGAAACCTTTTGACTTTGGATTATAAAAGCTTTTCCTTGGTCACCCATGTTGGAGGAAGGGAAAGAAGCTTGAATTTCAGGTTTATGCTGTGTTCAAGTAGTACTGTGGGCTCGAGCTTCCAGAAGCCAATACAAAATAATCAGAAAGGGCAGCTAGGCTAGAGCTTTTACACGGGTGGGCCCCGATTGTCCCCCTGTTTTCTTTAGATATAAATTACTGCTCCAAATGTCTACCTCTCATTTAAGTAAAAAATATTAAAAATTCTTATTCTTTAGGGATAAAAGAAACTGAGAGGGAGCTGTCCTTTATAAAGATCCTTTTTCGTGTACTCACTCAACAATGAGTTCTCAGAAGTCTATCAATGTGTCATTCAAATCCCCAGAAGCGGAGGGGAAGGGTGGCTAGAAAATACTTCAGACCTCTTCTCGCTTTGATGTTTATTTCCTTAATAGGAGCCAAAGGAAAAGGTGTTCATCTTCAGAAATAATGCCGGTAATAATCTTTATAAGGGAGCCCAATCATCGTAGCCTTTATATAGTGAGCCGTTAAATATCCAGAAATTCTTTTGGAGGACTTCTCCTAAAATTGCCAGATAAATGGGAAAAGTCGCTGAAATTCTAAAGTTAAACTTGCTTTTTTAAACTTAATCAAGTATGGTACCCAGTGCTCCCCTAGATAAGCCTGTGACTAATATCAATTGAGTGGATTGGACCCAAGTCTATCTAATAACATATCAGGTAAAAACAATGCTGTACCAAAACTTGGAGACATGTGCAAATTTATTATGAAATTACCCTTTATTGATTAGACTTTAAATAAAATATTTTTTAAAACATCAGGACCATCAGCATTGTTCATTAGTAGTAAAATATAAAATGAACTTCTCAATCAAGGTCATGCCAAATGACAAAGTATGACTGCAAAAAAAGAACACAGGAAGTAAAAATTGGTGAGGTGGAAATTAAAGTTGATTGATAATTGCTTGATGATGAAATCAACGTAGTGAATACTGTGTCTGCTCCCTCTGCCAAAGCTTCTAGGTCAAATGGACCCTGTTCCACCCATGGAATAGCTGTACAAAAAGAAGAATGAGACTCTTTAAAAGTTATGCACACACATACACACATATATGTGGATATCTATGTCTGTAGTTCATCAACCAGCTACACACGAGGACCAAAATGCTTCAGTCTAAAAATGGAAGATTTAAATTGCTTTCCTTCAAAATGAAAGTGAACTGAAGTAACTTTTCTATGGCGTTAAGATGTAATCTCTTTGTGTACCAGTCTTTGTTGTATTTTATATTTCTTATGACACAGATTTCTAGTTGATAGCTTAACATTTGTAATCGATAGTGTGTTGACCAAGGTTTATTTTTTTTCCCAAACTAGAGAAAATGTTCATAATAATTTTGATGTGTAAATGTGTTTATATTTATTGGAGATGAAACAAAGGCTGAGGAAACATCCATTGTTTGTTCTCTGTTTTAATTGCTACGTGTCTTATTTGGAATAACAAAAAACTGCATAGCACCCTTTCTGGGGTAGCCAGCAGTTCTGGGGCCAAGACCAGCGTTTCCACTGCTAAGGTTTGCAGCCAACCCTCAGGTTCTTCCGTGTGTCAATTGGAGAGGGCTGCAATGTCGGCTCTCAGTCCTGGACTAATGAGTTGAAAGCTTAGAAGACACTGCAGTCCTTACATGCCGCACCATAAAAGCTGAAGTGCATAGAAGATCATGTGTACCCAAAGAAAGAAACAGAAATCATCCAAAATACACTGAAAATCTCACATGGTCTCAGTAACCTAGTGGGAAACTATGTCAATGTGTGGGCACATATGCCAAAAAGGGAAATAAAAATCACCAGCTCAATTCTGTTTTCCACTTGAGAAAGAGACAGGAAAGAAACATGTTGCATTGGTGTAATACTCTCTGATACTTTGTAATTGGTTCCATTTTCAACTGGGGAAGTTTCTATTTTATAGTGTATGTGAGCTATTTTTAAAACAGTGTTCTATCATATCTGATTCAAATACAGATACTGTGTTGTATTTTTTAACTGTAAAATATTTTAATCTTTCTCTTAATATCCTGGATTTAATTAAAAACTCACGTCAAGTTCTTCATAAATGAGAATGTGTTCAAAAGACTGAGAGTTGGTATTAATTTCTCTGAGGATTTTCAACAACACCATTTTCTTTTGATTTTTAGTGTTTTGTTCCCCTTCTTCCCCTACCCTTTTTGTTTGTTTAGGGTTTTTTTTTCCAGTAGATAAATTGCTAATAAGCAATAATGTCCTTATCTTTACCAAAACACCAAAAATAAGGGAGATCATTGCTGAAGAAGCACAACATACTGCGGTGTCTTTTTCCAGAAGTGAATGGAAATCTTGCTCAAAGCAGGAAATGCAATGCCTGCTTTGATGGTGAAGCAGCAATAATGGTTTTACTCTGGAGTAACACAGAAAACAAGGAGCAAAGCAGTGACAACCATGTGATCTTTTCTTCATGGAACTTCATTTTGTTTCCACCCCCACCCCAACTCTCCTACTGATTGAAGACATACAAAATGAAATTCTGATCACTATGCACTGTTTTCACTCCACCCTTTTTTGCCCTCCCACTTACCAAAACCAAATTTCCTCTTTAAAAAAATGACTTAAAACTAGGAGTTCTGTGTCTTTTTTTTTTATCTCAGAAACAAAATTAGACTTGCAGCATAGTTTTCAAGGAAAAAAACAGCTTTGTTTTAAATTGAGAATTAGTTGTTTTGTGCTTTCACCTGAATGTGTTATTTTTAGACTGTATTTTCATCACAGCCACAGGGATCGTGTTTCGTTGTACTGACCTACTTGCCAGTGTCTGCCTATCCTTGGTAAAACATACTACTCTCTCCAAATTGCCTAAAACCTGCTATGATTCTACAGTAAATAGCTCAGGGGATTTCTATTTATCACTACTAAAAGGGCACCATAGTATGTTTTGGTACTTTAGGCAGTAAACAACTGCTTGATTTATTGTTTTATTATTAAATTAGAAAAAGAACATCAAATGGATTTGCTGCACTAGCTCCTCTGTACTGTTGAGCAACTTGATTTGCTTATCTGTTGCATTGGTTAAAAAACTCATCCCTTTTTGTCTTGTAATATCAAGTTAGAGTGCCTTTTTATATTTGTACATTCTGAAAATGTTCTGTGAAATGTTTTGTATTTTTTTCATTTGAGTGTTATCAGAGCAATATACCAGTGAGTTTTCATTTCAACCTTTCTTTGAATGTATAAAGTTCTTTATTCCTAATTCCCCTTGACCTGCTTTGAAATGAAAATGCTGAAGTTTTTATAGGAATTATATTTGATTTTGCAGTGCTAAAATGCTTTCTTCTTACAAAACTGTAAACCATAGATCAGTGTTATAGAGGAAAAGCATTTTAAGATAGTGACAATCGGAGTGTGTATAAAATGTAATTCTATGGTTTTCTTATGCAGTGATCTAAAAATTCAATGCAAATATCTTTTGTTTGGTAGTTTTGTCTACATATTTTATGCTTTAGCATGTGCAATATATCTTTGCAATGCACGATGATACAAATCTGGTGCCAGTGTTATATTTTGCATAACATATTTGTAACAGCATAAAATATTGTTTGATGATTTTAGTGGGGTTTTGTCTGTAATGTTTTCTTATGTAAATTGGAGTTCAATGACTGGTAAATGTCATGACTGTAAAAATGAGGAAAATGACTTTTAGTTCAATGAATGACTTTGAACCAATCTGAATCTACTCAAGCACAGTTTAATACTTTTTCAACTACTGAATGCTAATAATATAATGGAAGTACTTAACTGTAATATAATATGGAAATGCATTCAGATGGTTATTTTTACAAATAAAAACGGTACAAATTGCTTTCAAATTCTAATGTCTTTATTTTTCCAATCTATGATAATTTTTTAAAAGATTTATTTATTTGTGCATACAGAACTGGAGTACAGGACAGAGGTGCAGGGGCAGTGAGAGGATTCACCAGAGACAGAGTGGGGAGCAGAATGGGCCAACTGATGAAGTACACTGCTGAGGGGAGCAGCGGGCAGGTCAGGAGAGATTTGCTGCACTATGTGGGCCACCTTGGGGTGGGGATCGAACTCATGCTGAAGTGGCCTTAGCTTCTCAGTGCTGTGCTCTAACCCACTGCACCACCAGGGAGGGCCCCAATCTATGATAATTTTTACAAATTACGTTTATTTCAATCTTTGTCAGCCACCAAAGCTAAAGTGATCTTAAAAATACAAAATAACTATTTATATTTGTATCTTCATAGTTGGAAAAAATAACTTTCAAACACTTATGTCTATGCTTCTTAAATTTTTCAATAAAGTATTCAGCTGGCTTTAAACAATATATATAGGGTAAAGTAGAGGTGGAAAAATTAGGACATGTAAAATACAAATAGGTATGAGAACCATAAAATTTAGCACTGAGCCCTCCCTGGTGGTGCAGCAAGTTAAAGCACAGCACTGAGAAGCTAAAGCCACTTTAGCATGAGTTCGATCCCTACCCTGGAGGTGACCCACATGGTGCAGCAGACTCTCCTGTCTTCCCCCACTGCTCCCCTCAGCAGTGTACTTCACTGATCTGCCTGTTCTGTTCCACATTTTGTCTCTGGTGAATCCTCTCACCACCCCTGCATTTCTGGCCTGTACCCCAGCTCTGTATGCATAAATAATTCTTTAAAAAAAATTAGCACCATGGCTATGAGTAAACCTGAGTTTCCTCTAAGCCTTCTTACACTCAACATAAGACAGGAAATATGGCTTTTTATATAGATCACATACTTCAGAAATGAGGATGCCTGTGAGTTTGTCAGAATTATGAAATCAAGCCTGCTTATTTTTCTTACTGCTGACACCAGGGGTCAACTTTCATAGGAACACCTACCTCTCATAGCAAGAGTCTACCTCTCTGAAGCATCCTTAAAGGTATTTTTCTCACTATTTAAAATTTTTTCCCTTGAATGGTAGCTTCAGAGATGGTTTCTAGGATCACTAAAGGATGATGAGAGATTTTAGGGGTTCCTCAAGTCACAGTGTCACATTTCTTAATAGTTCTTAGTTTAACTCAGTCCATCATATTTTTTAGTGAAGACAGCAAATGTCAGAAAAACTAGGATTTACTCAAATTTGTGTAGTTAGTTGTGTAAATAACAACTTGTGCCCATAGATATATTCTCTTTGCCATCTTAGTACATAATGTTTTGTGGTGTTTTATTTTTTGCCTATTAGAGAACTCAGGGAGGTTTTACACTTTGCCTTGCTTCACTGCTTATTCAAATATACACAAATCTCACTTTTGCTGTCTTGAAGACTGTAACGCATGGATGATACCGTAGTTGAGTACTTCCTGTAGTGTAGAGCAGACTGAGTATCTAATGGCTGTGTGCCAGAACTTAGTGACTGAAAACAACAAATATTTATTCTTTCACGGTTTCTGAGTCAAGTGCTCAGGTGTGGTTGAGTTGGGTCTTTTGTCACAGGGTTTCTCATGGACTCTAATAATTATTGGCCATGAAAAGATCCATCAGCTCAGGCTGTTGGACTGAGAACTTCTCCTAGCTGGTTGCCCACTCTTCCTTGCAAACGTGCTTTCCACAGGGAAGCTCACAGCTTGAGGCAACTTACCTTTCGAAAGCCGGCAAGTTAAGAAAAGCCAGAGAAAGAACAGAATCACAGCTTTATACCTGAATCTTGAAATGATATACCAGCATTTATTCCACACTTTGTTCATAAACAACTTGCTAGGACCACCCTATACATAAGGGAAGGGGTAGCCAAAGATCATAAATACCAGGAAGCAGGAGTCACCAGGGGTCATTCTGAAGGCTGCTTACTTCATGGATCTGTCCCCATGTCCTTTAAGAATACCACATCAGATGAGAAAAACTTTCCCAGACATTGTTGTAGAAGCTGTTTACCTGATTTCCTAAATTTGATTTTTCAAGAAAGAAACAGAAATTTCACTCCTGCTCTCAAAAACAAGCAAAAAGACTGCCTCAACAGTCTTTTTACTTTTGAGCATTGATGTTATACTTAGTTCTAAACTACTTGTCAAATAATCCCTCTCTAATTCCATTCAGTAGGTTCTTTTCCCCATACACTTATCCCTCACTTAACACACTTAATGTGTTCCAGAATTAGCTTGCATAGCACAAAGGCATTAAGCTAAAAGGCCATTAACATAACATAAAAATATTGTGGGTAAAAGGGCTGTAAGAACTGTCTCTAACAAATTTCATACTGAAAGTACATTTGTTGTAAAACATAAACCCCAAAGATAATGGCTATAGCATTCATTAATTTTGAAGCACTCCAGAGGATCATTGGAAATTTGTGGCTGATACTGTGACTGGGGGTGGGGGGTAGGTGGGGTGGAAAGGTTTCTTACTAACATTTACGTACAAGAATTTACTAGGCCAGGAATAGCAGATGTCCTGCCCAGTCCAGTGTATAACTACATCACCCTCAATGTTCCAACACCATACTGCTATTCTACTTGTTCGCCTTGTGTTTCTTAGTCAACCTACCATTACTGGTAAAATCAGCCATATTTCAAAATCTCTTTTCACAAGGGAGTGCATAAGCAAACTCTAATATACCCCCCATGAAGAGAATTCAGAAAGCAATATTGAGAACCTGTTTCCTGGTTGTGTCTTTTTCTAGGAGAGATTCCATGTAGCTGAATGGAGAAGAGTACTGCACAATTTGAGATAAGTATTTAATCCCTTTAATATTAGCACATGCACTCTCCATGTCTTAAGCAAGGGGTGATTGCAACTACTTCCCAGGTGAGGAAAACTCTACTCACAAAGATACCTGTAGGCCAGTCACATAGTCAGACCTGGCAACAGCACCCCGTAGTACACATTGGTACTCTGGGCACTACAGGCGATTAGGGGGGCATTTTCTACCTTTAAGAGAAAGTGAATGGAATTCTATTTAAGTTGTAGAAAAATTTCATAATTTTCAGAAGTAAAAATGTCAAAGCAATCCTTAGAGCACAAAAAGCTTACTTGTATTGAATTCAGTGCTGAAGGACCCAGCAAATCTCAGAACACTTAACTCAATATTTCTTATAAATTGCCTAAATTGTACAAACATTTCAGTTCAGACATTAATGATAGAAAGTCTGTGAGCCATATAAAGGAGAGAACAGTCTTGAGAGAGGGAACAGCCAGTACCAATACCTAACGGCACAGATGAACAGGACATGTTGTAAGAACATATGAGGCCAGTGTTGCTGAGATATGTGGGGTAGAGGAGAGTGGTGTGATATAATACCACGAGCTGTTTGAGGCCAGATCTTATAAAATTTCATGTGTCAGGAAATAAAATTGCTATTCTGAATGTGGCAAAGATCCCCTGGAGAAATTTAAGAAGACCTATGGCTGTGATCCATTTCATTTTTAAAAGATTGTTTTAGAGGACTTGAACTAAGATAGTATCAGAGGAGGTCCCTTGCTTCATTTTGAGAGGATCTTCTAATACTAATCAAAGGGACCGTATACCCAGAGAATCCTCTAGTTTGGGGTGAAACTGGAACACTTTTTGAGTGTCAGAGACCAGCACAGGAAAGGACAGAGAAGACTTCATGATTTATTGAACAAAATGTGAGTAGAGAGAAATCCCTGGAGTTAAATGTATGGAGGCAAACACTCTTGAAATACATGTTGCAGAGCTGAGAAGCACCCACCAGGTTTGGCCACTACCTAGTTGAAAGAACAAATGCAGTGCACTGACCACAGGCTCCTGTGACGCCCTGCCCCTCAGGAGCCACCTCCTGAAGCTCACTGATGGTGCACAGACTACATCATTCAGGGTCTGAAACCCCAGAGAGGCAGATACTGATGAAAAGAAGAACTAATTAAAGAGATATAACAAATACAGGGGGAGGGGAAAAAAGGAATGACCCGAGAAATATTTTAACACAGAAAATAGAAGCTTTAAAAAAGTAACAGAGATCAGGATGTAAAAAGTCTCAGGTAATGTAAAAAGGGAACAGTATTGACCAAGATCCCCAAAGATATAAATGAAAAAATCCTCATTAAAATCTTTGCAAACCAAATTCAATAATGCATAGAAGGGTCAGACATCTCCTGATCAAGTGAGATTTATTCCAAGGGTTCAGCACCTATAAACAATCAATGTAATTCACTGCATCAACAAAAGGAAAAATAAAAATCATATGGTCACTTCATTAGATGCAAACACAGCATTTGATAAGATTCAATATCCATTTATGTAAACTCTTAAAATGAGCATAGAAAGAACATACCTCAACAGAATAAAGATATAAACCCACAGGTAACATCATACTCAATAGTGAAGAACTGGAGTATTTTTTCCTCTAAGATCAGGTATGAGAAAACTAGTACTTTCACCACTACTATTCCTAGAGCAATTAGACAAGAGAAAGACAGAAAATGAATCCAACTGGAAACAAAAATATATGTTATCATGATATAGATTGTGCTACTACATAGATAATATGCATAGAAACATGTGTGATATACATAGAAAATATATTCGATGAATTGAATTTGCACATATGAATATAGGAAACCTACTAAAGATTCTACTAAAATACTATTAGTAATAATCTTCTCACAGTCTTGCCTCAAATGTCACCAAGCAGCCTGCTACCTGCCTGGGAAAAATGTGTGTAGGAAAGTGATTGGAATTAATTTATAAGATTGCAAGCTAAGTGATTGTACCCTTTCCATTACTCTAGGAAACTAGGAATACTGATTATCCTGGTGTGGTGTTCAAGTTTGGTGGTTTGAAAAAGCATATCAATATTATTATTTAAATCTGGGAAAACCCAAACCTATTGTTTTT